GGGCATGGAAGCTCCACGCCCCTTCCCACATACATTGCTCTCTCCATCTCTTCCATCTGGCTATTCATGAGTTATATCCTTTAAAAATAAACCGGTAATCTAGTAAGTAGAATGTTTCTCTGAGTTCTGTGAGCCATTGCAGCAAATTAATTGAACCCAGGGATGGTCATGGAAACCCACCTATAGCCAGTTGATCAGGAGCGCAGGTGATAACTTAGACTTGGTTTTGGTGTCTGAAGTGGTGGTAGGGGGGGCACCCTTGTGGAAATGAGCCCTTAACTTGTGGGTTCTGATGCTGTCTCCAGGTAGATGGTGTCAGAATTGGGTTGAATTGTAGGACACACAGGCAGTCTTGGAGAATTGCCTGATGTGGGGAGAGAGCCTGCATGTTTTAGAATTGAAGAAGCAAAAAGTTCAGAGTTAAAAAATTCTAAAGGATGTCTTTAGGCAGAAGGACAGTCCCATAGACGAAATCCCACAAGGGAAGCTCTGAAATACAAGACTGGAATGAATAGAGGAATGAAAGGTAAATAAATGGATAAATCTAAAAGGCTGAATTTAAAAGTTGGTATTTATAGTCCCTATCTTGGGAGAGAGTTTATGCTAATGAGAAGGTTCAGGGTGGGCCCTGAGATGGCCTCAGAATGAAGACCAAGTGATAAGAGAGTGGGAACTTTCAGTCCCATTTCCAGCCTCCAGGGAGGGAGGGGATCTGGAGATTGAGCTTCCATTAAAAACTCTTGAACAAGATTTGATGAACTTCCAGGTCGGTGAGCACGTCGAGGGGCTGGAAGGGTGGTGCCCGGAGAGGTCATTGAAACCCCATACCTTGCCTTGTGTGTCTCTTCCAGTAGGCTGTTCCTGAGTTATATCCAGAACTCGGGTAATAAACCAGTAAACCTAAGTAAAGTGTTTCCTGAGTTCTGTGAATCATTCTAGCAAATTATCGAATCTGAGGAGAACACGGGAACGCCTGAATTTGTAGCCAAGCTGAACAGAAGCACTGGTGGGCTGGGCACCCCATGGTAACTGGCATCTGAAGTGGGGGGCAGTCTTGTGGGCTGAGTCCCAACCTATGGGGTATGATGCTAACTCAGGAACTTAGTGTCAGAACTGAGTTGAATTGTTGGACACCTGGTCAAAGAAAGAGAACTGGAGAGTTGGGTGATGTTGGAAGACACCACGTTATTTTGATGTCACAGAAAAAAAACTACAGAAATCCTTCTCATCATTAATTGGCAAATCAAATTAATAAGAGTCAGTAAAGACAGGTTGATAATAACATAATCCTTAAGCTTGACCTAAAGCCTCCATCAACCATTGCACTCAGCAATCAGAGAGTACACATTTCTATCAAAAGCACGTGGAATGTGTATGAAGATTAATCTTGTTCTTGGCCCTAAAGTTTCCACAAGTTTCTTTTTCTGTGGGGGGCGGCAATTAGGTTTGTTTGTTACTTATTTTTAAATTTTTTTAATGAAAATGCTGGGGGTTGAACCTAGGACCTTGTGCATTCTAGGCACACTGTCACTGAGCTATGTACCTTCTCTTTGAAAGTTTACAACTTTCAAAGAACTGGTTTCATGGAGATTCCTTTGATTACAATTCTATTTAAAAAATTACCAATAACTAAAAACCTTCATCACTTGAAAGTTAAAAAAGTCATATCTAACTACCTCGTCAAAGAAAAAAGTCATCACAAATCATTAGCTGTTTAGAAATGAAACGTAAATGAAAATACAACAAAATTTGGTTGTGGGTGTACATTTATCAGGGGTAACTTTATAGCTTGAGTCATATTATTGAAAAAGACCAAAAATTAAGCAGCTGTGCCCCTGACTTAAGAAGTTAGCAAAACAACAACATAATAGACTGAAAGAGAGTGAAAAGAAGGAAATAATAAGGTAAAAAACCGAAAGGCAGAGGAGCGACAATGCCAAATACTTTGAATCAACAGGGCAGTGGGAGTGGGAGGAGGATCCCGGGGTGCTGCAAGGGAGGCAGGGTGGCTGGGTCTGCACCCTCCCCCTGCCTGGCCTTTCTAGAAAACCCCTCTCTTTCCACCCCACTGTGTTTCCTTTTCATGTTTCCTCTCCCAGCCGGTGCTGCAGGTAATTTGATTTTCCAGAAGCTCTCTTAAAAATACATACTCTGTCCCATTTTCTTCTGGGTTTATCTCCGTGTTCTTTCTCTGCGTAGCTGAGGTGGTTCTGTGTGTAACACATCAGTTTCACGTCCTGTATTTCCCCCCACGTACCTTGAGCACTTTTTCCTCTGTCATCACCATGGATGTTTTTTGTGGCTTCCTGGCATCTTCAGTAGCCCTTGGTTGACTCAGCTAGGCCACTGGTGGACATCCAGTAC